TGTCCGCCACAGATTTGGGGAAATTGGTCCGTGCGCAAAGCATTGTGGGGATTTTAAGACCGCGGAGTCTACACATGTGCAGCCTCGAAATTTCTCCAAACGAAGTACGCCGGGCTCGGTAGAATTCCAAGTATGCTGAACATTGGAACAGCACTTCGGCAGCACTCGATGACGTAGTATGCTTGAAATAGTGGCTCTGGAGCAGCTTTACTCGAGATTGAGAAAGACCCACCCCTGCCCTATTTGCAGTGCGCATGTGCGAGATGGTCCGCCATATTGGACAACTCCACAAGGCAACCCAACTAGGACACTTGACACCGTTTTTATCGGGTTCTTTTATTTGGGGTTAAGTACATTGTCAGAATAAGTGAGAAATGGATTCAACTTCTGTTAGACAGCTTAGTCAAGTGTCCTAGTTAGGTTGCCGTACAGAGTTGTCCAATATGGCGGACCATCTCGCACATGCGCAGTGCAGATAGGGCAGGGATGCAGATAGGGTAGTGACAGACAGCCACATGTTGTACCTCCTCTTACATCCGGCTTCATCTGCTCATGTAGACCTTGGAGAGGCATTGTTTGTAAGTTTAATGATTTATCTATGTTTATAGATTTCATTTATGTTTATATTTTGTAACATGTCATTGAATTGATTGCAATGCTTTGTACTTTTTACTTTCAGTTTCACAAGATTACTACAATAAAATGTTTAACTATCTGGCGATATGTACATCATTGCTACGTGTCCAGGGGGCAGAATAATACTGTTGACAACTTATCTAAACGCTCTTAATCAAAGCTTACAGTTACCTGCTTACTAGTCAGTAAATGCACCATACTGACATTACTTCTTCTGTTTTTGGTTGCTGTATATTTTTAAACGACTTCAACTTTGAAACAGGATCTATAAAGTTGATTTTGAATCTAATTTCCTTTTCTGTGTGTGATTCATCATAGTTTAGTAATGACGTGTAAAAGCCCTACCTCATCAGAGTCCAGCAGAGGGGGTAATGCACTGTGAGAAGGAAGGAAAAGCATAACATTTGAGAAACATTCATTTATGATGCGTAATTATCATAGCCAAGATACTGATGTCGCGCTGATGAAGACTTACACATCTGCCAAAGATGTCGGGATGTTCTCTTCGACCCATTTCAGATCCTCATCCTGGAAAAACAACAAAGTGGTGTTAAGCTGATTTAATGTAAAAAAGATGACATTGCATGTGGCACCAACAGTTGTTTTAGGGCTTTGTTTCACTCTGGATAAAGCAGAGTGCTGAATATCTGAATGTAGGTAGCATGACTGCAACATGCTGAATGATTGTTATAGTCAGAATGACCTTAACCTCTTTCATTTCATTATCTTTTAAAATGTAAATAAACGGTATAAACTTAAAATAGTTAATACAATAATCTAATTTATCTTTATTTTCAAAAATGTGTCCTGTCATAGAGAAATTGTTTTTTCCCATCCTGGACAAATATAAACACAAATAATGTCAATCCAAACCACTATCCCTGGTGTTGAGAATCTGAAATAAATAACCATTAAGATACATTTCATTATCTACATCTCGTTCTTTTGTCCATGCGACCCATCCTCGAGAATCTAAATTGATGGTCACATGGGCCGAAAGCACAGGAAAAACATGTGTGAACGGTATCACAATATGACGCCGTATTGCAGTTATCATAACATTTACTTCATTGTATTGTACTGATCTCCATCCCTCACCGAGAAATAACATTTGCAATGTGGAATATCCCAAAAACAAACCAGGGATTATCAAGATTGCAAAAAAAAGGAGCTGCAAAGTGTAAACCAAAAGATAAACTGTGAGGGGGGGGCTGACCTTCGTGTGTGAGTTGTACAGAAAAAAAACGTAGTTCAAGGGTCATTGTAATTGGTGATAATGATAACTATTTTATACTGTGAAACTGGGATATTTCCTGAGGTGGTTGTGCTGGCATGAAAAATCTCTTACTGTTACAACCCTACAACATGTCTGAGTGCACAGTAGTGTTAGATACAGAACAGCGTGGATGTCTGTGGTATGTTCAAGGAATATATATCTGTCCTTTAAGTGAAACTACCAAATGATCCCAATATCACATAGGGAACCTTCCATCTCAGCTCCTGCACATACAAAACTGTAGAGAAAAAATACTTACAATTGAGGCAAACTGTTGTTAAACTGGAACAAACTGGAACTACTACTAACATCAAATTAGTTTGGAAACAGATCATTTAAAAGAAAAAGGTTGTGGCCGGACACACATCTGAAAAAAATGGCAGCTGCTGTTTCTGTTTTACTCACCACTTTGTTGGCTTTGGGTGTTCCGTTGGTCTCGTTTTTTATGCCCCTCAATTTCATCCCTTCTGGAGACACAGGAATTAAAACAGAGATACAAAAATATGTAAGTCAGGAAGTAATTAACTAAGAGGTATAACTTTCTGTGATGCATATTTCAGTAAAAGCGGATCATATATTGGTTTGGCCGCATTAAGTTTCATTTGGCATTTAAATCAACTAATGTGGTAGAGGCAAAAGAAAAACGCAGGAAGGGAAGAAAGGAGGCAACAGGATAGAGAAAAGAGGAAGCAAGGGAGTAAAGGAGGAATATTTTTTACCGAAAGCCTCGTTCGCCATGGGCTCCTGCTCCTCTTCCTCACTCTCTTCATCGAACAGAGGACTATAGGCGTACCTGATACACAGAGGAAAAAAGGAAGTGGATTATCTTTACCATTAAAAAGAGAAACAAATAAAAACATTCTTGACATCCTTCTTACCTCTGGTTATTGGCTGATGGTCGCCATAGGAACATGATGACCAATAGGATGATGGAGAACAAGAAGGGCCAGAACGCATCTTCTATCCACAGCTCCCTCCAGTCCTGCAGGCACAAAGAGAGAGATCAGAATGAAAGCACTTCAAAAATCTTTGTTTTCAGGAACTACAAATATTTCTCTGCTCTTGATCTGTGTATTAATGCTGAAATATCCTGATTAAGGCGGACACATGCACATTTTAAGTGATTCCAGTGTTTTAAGTTGATTAAAGTACACTTGACTTACTAACACACTAAACCTACAAATGATAAATCGCAAAATGACCCGAATACCTCGAGGATAAAGTTCATATACTTCTATTTTTTTCCAGGGAATACGTTTGGGGGCGATGAGATTGGGATAATTAGCACCATTTATCATCCAAATACTGTTAAAATATTCTAGTAGCTAATAGATTGGAAGTAAGATTTTTGTCCACCAACCAAGTTAATTCTGCATCTTTGGTGAAGTGCCACTGTTTTGTTTTTTTATAAACATGTTGTGTTTTTAATAACCCTGTCAGCATAGATGCAACAGTTCTAGTCAATACACCTAAACGATTTTTCATTAAAAAAACATGCTCATAGTAACTAAAGTCTGAATCATTATTGCTTTATGTCATCTTTAACAGCTCAAAGCACATCCCAAGAGGGGCATTAGAACATAACATTTTCTAGACCGGAAACAAGAGGCCACCTCTAGTTTTAAAGGGGATGACTATGCATTAGCCTCCATGGCGATAGAACAGGACTTGTTATTGGAACTGAAACACTAAGATAATCTGTACAACAGACTGATTGAACTCTTCTTACTCAACGTATTGGTTAGTATCGGCTATAATGACCTTTATTTACATTCTTTATATTTTCTTGTCATTTATTAAGTAAATATTGATGCAGTTTTGCTAGAGATTATGTGTGTGTGGCGCAGCTGTGGCTGCAGTGAAAGGAGACTTGTTGAATTGATTTATTTGGGTTTCTTTCTTTAGTAACAGCTTTCATTCTCGCTACATTAGACACGCGTTTCTGTACAGTATTTGATATAAGGCATATAGCCAGGGCCGGCCCTGACCAATTTGCTGCCCTAGGCAAGATTTTAGCTGGCGCCCCCCCAAAATGCAGACACTCACGATGAGTCGCGCATGCATGCACGGTTGTGGCATGACCACCAAAACAGAAAGATATGGACACAAGATGTGTGCAAATGTATTTAGTATCCTATCCATTTGAACATGATTTAAGTGGGGGGTGGACCTAACCTCCGCTCGGGGGGTCCGGGGGCATGTTCCCCCGGGAAGATTTTTTTTTTTAATATTGAAGTTAAAAGCATCAATCTGGTGCACTTTTAGAGCAACACTAAGAGATCTATGGATACATCTCTCAACACCCATATGAAACAGAATTGTAAGCAGATTTTCTTTTTATTTATGGATATTTTACAAATCACTCCCCTTTTAAACTGTATTCTTGTTTATTAATAACAACTTTTTTTTACTGTCATATATTATTTTATACTATAAGAGAATAGATGAAAATCTATTCTCTTATTTTTGAATAACTATAATGATCATATAAAGGTGTGCCTTTACCTCACTAAGCTGAGGTTATCAGAGCCTCTCAGTCTTTCAGGAGAGAGCTCTAGTTTGGTCTGCTTTGTTTCAGTTTGGTAAGTTTATTTGAAAGTATTCAACGGAAGTCTTGGTTACAGGTCTGCATCATAGACTGTATATATAAAGGTCTGCATTGACGCTGGCTTGACCATACTAAAGTTACAATTCCTCTCTGTGACCACCAGANTAATGTGACCTCTACTGGCCAATGAAAACACAAACAGCCAAAAATAGCATTTGCTGTTATAGCACCTCCTAGAGGCAATTGGCTTGATTGCAGCATATTCATGCTATTTTTGGCTGTTTGTGTTTTCATTGGCCAGTAGAGGTCACATTACATNTTGCTTCAGAAGCGAGGCAAGAATACTTCCTGGCATTCGGAAAACGAAGAGTGGAACAGGCTAGCAAGTGTGCAGGTGTGCATCATATGAGAGGCCCCGGCGGGGCCTCTCATATGATGCACACCTGCACACTTGCTAGCCTGTTCCACTCTTCGTTTTCCGAATGCCAGGAAGTATTCTTGCCTCGCTTCTGAAGCAAGACGCTCGGAAGACATGTGCTACCAAGCAAGCGTACTCGAGAAACACCCCCACTCTCTAGCTTGTCTGTCGGAAAAACATGGCCGCTGACCTTTCAACTCAGTCATGTGACTATGTAATGTGACCTCTACTGGCCAATGAAAACACAAACAGCCAAAAATAGCATGAATATGCTGCAATCAAGCCAATTGCCTCTAGGAGGTGCTATAACAGCAAAACCGATACTTACATGTAACTTGACAATTATAGCAAGTATTACCTGTAGGCTATGCTGGTCAAATATCTTACAGAATGTCCTTCATTTATCCTCCATGGTAAAAGCATTTCCCATCTAGTTTAATGTCATGCTCAGATCAATATTAAGAATTTGAGGAAAGCATCTTCAGCCCTAGTGCAAACATATGATGCCAAGTACAAAGTTGAAATGATTTTAAAAACATGTCACCAGAAGGGATGAAAAAAAAAGAAGTATATAAAATCATAGATGTTGTTTTCTACAATCCGTTTTTAATCATTTAATGTTTTACAAAATATATCTTGAAAATCTCCAAGATTGATATACAGTACACACACGCACTTGTTTATCATATTTGTAGTTCTTATTTTCAGCAGCAGGGGGTGGCATACCATCAAGGCAGAGCAGTTGTTGCTACGGTTACATCACACTGTTGTTATCCTTCTCCCTGTTGTCATGGCGAGCAGAACAATGTGATTGCAACATGCCTGTGTGTGTGTTATTGTATTTATTATTTGATGTTCAGTCACAATCTCTCTGAACCATCTCCAAATTATTTACTCTTTCATCTCCGAGCTGAACCTTTTAAAGTGATCCATCAATCAACAAAGTACCTCTCAAGCAGAATAAATTTTTCCTATGAAAGCTTCTGTATGAACACGGACAGATTTTAAAATCCATATTAAGTACTTGCTCTATGGAATTGCATTTTATAGGGTTCCTGTTGTAAGACATGAAGCTTGGAACAGAGAAAGCTTTGGCTCTGGTTTAAATATGACTTCCTTAGATCTGTGCGCTGTTATTATTGTGCTTTGCATCAGGATCCTACTATTAAATGGCTACACACTAAATAAACCAAGGACTTGAATCCCCATATTGATTAAAACCCTTTTTATAAGTTTAAAAATAAAGGCTGTTATATAAATTATGCATTTTAAGCTGTTTCATATGTAAGTGAACAATGCATACATTTTTCTTTTAACCCTTATGTTGTGTTCGGGTCTCCCGTGACCCGTTTCAAGTTAAAATTATATAATAACTACGCTCTAGTTTATTTTTACGGAACAAGGTTTCATGATACCCTCCACAACAGCTATACTGTATAAACACTACAAAACAGATTTTGACAATTTTAGCCAAGTCTGAAGGTCTCTTAAAAAAAGTATATCATTTGGTGTTCGGGTCTGGGAAGACCCAGAAGAATTGTTGTCGGTCACTCGGGGTCAAATTTGGCCCCCTTCATCCACTGTAACAATAATTTTTCGCAACTGGTCGTCTGTGTGTGTGTGGCAGGAGCGCATTTTGTGTGAGAGACAGAGTGGGAGACAGACAGACAGAGAGAGAGAGACAGAGAGAGTTACAGGGGTTGTTGTTAGCATCTGTTTCTAGCTCGGAGCTAACGGAGATTAGAAGAGGGACAGTCCTCTCCTGTCGGACTGAGAGGGATAACCTCAGCTCAGGGAGGTAAAGGTCTCTGAGTGATTAGATTGTAAACTTTAGTCTAAGTTATCTCAGTGGGTCTCAAACGGTTTGGTCATCTATGTAAACAAATATTTCCATCTATTTAATATAGTTGTTCAAAATAAGTTTAAAAAAAATACACAGTTTGAAAGGGGAGTGATTAGTCAAATATGCATAAATAAAAAGAAATCATGCAGACTAGGTAAGATAAAGATAGGAGAGAGGAGTATATCAATGATGTGTTATTGGTTGTGAGCATATTCTAATGGTTTTTGCAGTATTGAAATATATACAGTTCTGTTTCATATGAGTGTTGAGAGAGCTGTATCCATAAATCTCTTAATTTGTGCACCAGATTGATGCATGCAACTTCAATTTAAAGAAAAAAATCTTCCCGGGGTGCATGCCCCTGGACCCACCTATAGGATGTGAGGTCATCACAAATGAAACAGGTTCACATGGATAGGATACTAGATAAGTGTGCACACTCATTATATACACTACACATTTTTCTTGGATTAGTTAACACCATAGTCCCTAATAATATTTGTAGAAAGGCAGGAAATGGAATTAAATCGATAACAATGTTTTATTGCGGAGGACCCCCTGTTTTGTGTCCCCGCCACTTCTCAAA